TGTAATCATCATTGGCACAATTATCCTCTTTTGTCAAACATAAATGATCTTTTACGATGCTAAGAAACAATGAACTCGACAAACTAACCAAGGACACTGCTGATGAATTTACTTTACTTTGTCAATCAATACAGGGTCTGTTTCTGAACCAATATGTTTTCTCCATTAACCACAAGCACAGTGCCAAGGGAACCCAGGAGTGAGTGAGTGAGTATGGTTTTACGCTGCTTTTAGCAATATTCCAGCAATATCATGGCGGGGGACACCAGAAATGGGCTTCACACATTGTACCCATGTCGGGATTCAAACCCGGGTCTTCGGTGTGACGAGCGAACGCTTTAACCACTTGGCTACCCATCTGCCCCATGGAACCAAAGAGGCATCATCACATCTGAGTCTTTTTGTGAAGTTGATCATATATTTTCACTTCATTGTAATGGTGGAATAAGGAAATTTTGTGATATCGAATAGGCGGCATCTCTGAATTTTAGCACTAGAACTGACAAAGCTTACTCCCCAGCCAACGGAGAGATTGATTTTTGAGACTTAGCCTGAAACATCCAGTGGTAGAAAATACATCTGAACTACAGTGCTGCTGGCAGGAAAATACACATGGAAAAAAATGGAGCCCAGTATTTTTTTATTTTCATATGTACCAAACATTTGTCAACATTCACCCCTTTCCGTAACCTGCAAGAAGACTCGTCCCCCTATCGATGAATGTTATGGGCCAAAATATGACAAACCAATCAGAATGGGTTTGTGACTTCAAGTACTTCGGTCAAAGATTCCCTCAGGAATAATTTTTGATTTTGTCTTTCACCTATAAACATACCCTAGATATAGTTAATGTGTTCAGTCATACTGTATAAATACCTTAAGTCCCGGTGTTTTTTAAATAGCATCTGGAAAATATATGATATGGGGGGAAAATACATGAATCATTACGAAACAAGTTGACAATTCTTTTAACAATGCCCGTTTGCGCTTAAACGGAACCCAGTCGCAAATTTGGCCACGAGAGGGGCACGAGTCGCTATTCAGCTTGTCCCGGAATAACACGAGTTGGTCAGGAATGATGTACAAAGCTAAAGGTAAAGCACATCCTGTTACGCCATGAGGGGGGCACGAGTCGCTATTCAGCTTGTCCCGGAATAACACGCCTTACAACTTAATATTGTAAATGCAATCCATGATTCATTTTGAAGTTTGTTTACCAGCTGTTGCAATATGAGTATACGCGAGACATAACTACATTATTAGTGATTAGTAATCTTAACCCGAAAGTGCAAGAATATGAACTAGCCATGTTACAATGGTCCGAGTGCTGTAAACCTAAAGACTTATTTCAGTGACAACCAAATAACACTGAACATGAGGCTACCAAGGCCTGCCTTGATATAAAGACAGTGAAACAGGACGCCACAGAAGCCATGAAGAGAGGCGGATGTCATGACATTGCTATGATCAGTCAATGAATGGTGGCAATTTATACATAATGGGGTTAAAGAAACAACAGTTTGATTACATTATGTGATAGGCAGAGAATGGGTTAGCACACAAAGATACTGGTAGCACTAGCGTTTTAGAACAAAACAAACATGTAGACAGTTGTCTAGAAAATACTATTTGTGTTTCCAATTTTATTTACCAAACACAGACATACAAAATGCCCTGGCGTAATACCAGTTCAAACAACTTTAGTTTGTTTAACATTCTAGTTGCCTGGGAACCAGGAACAGATGTTAATTTCCTGCTGAACTTTTTCAGTAGCCATGTTGGAAGTTCAGTGACGAAACAGCGCCTAAAACACCTGTTTCATGGAGCAGTTGACAGAAAACGCAACATTTACAGAGGCCAGGTCAGGTCAATTCATTTACTGTCTTACAGATTTTCTCGATATAAATACCAAAACGATCAGGCAAAATAAATGCAAATATAAGGTTTGATTCTATCATATTTTCATAATATAATTAGAAATAAAAACTTAAAATAACTTCTTCTTTTTAAAAACACCCCTACCTTTCATAATTTAGTGTAGATCTGACAATGAAATGAAAATTAAATTTGTCTGGCTTAAGAAGTCTTGTTTCCTTGAAGAACGTGAAACTGTTAATCTCTTGCCACTAGTTCAAGACTGGATGAGTCTTCCTGGTTTGAACGTGGGTAAACTGATCCCCATTCTGCTTCAAATGAAATAACGAGTCTCAGAACCTAACCAGCATCTAGGTGACACAAAACTACCTATGTTGCTTTTAAGGAAAGAATCTACCGCAAAGATGGGATTACAAAGTACAATACCAACTTTCACAACACTGACTAAATGCATAGAGTAAGTTCAAGTAGCATATTCAGCCCTAGCGTTCCCTTCTAATAAAGGGCCTAACTCTTTCAGCAGCATATTTATCTCAAATAATCAGTTTTCTCAGAAGTAGTGAAGAGACAAAAATCTCACACTACCATCCCTACCGCTTCAGTTCACCAACTCTGTCGTCCAATCTTGTAGACAATACCAACACAGCTTAGTGCTTGCCACAATATTCCATAGTGAGACAATATTCCTGTGACTTAGTTTGCAAAACTGGGGCCAGTCTTGTCATTTGTATTTAATCTTTTGATGAATGTAAGTTGCAAGAAAATGTTGATGGGCCTGATAAACATGTCTTCCCAGTGTTGAAGCAAACGGTTTGTTTATTACATGGTGCAACCATTAACATAGAGCAAAATGACACCACACATTAGAACATGTCACCAGTACATCTCTACCATACCAATAAGTTGCGTTCATAAATCTGGTTGGGGCTTCTTTGCCCAAATCAGCATATTTCAGCTAGGTCATGACATCCTGCCCAGTCTGGACCAGTCAAACTAGTGGTGGACAGCATGAGCACGGATCTAGGTTGCCAGGAAATGACCTCAAAAGAGTAGTCGAAAACGTGAGCATAGATCCATGTTGCAAGGAAATGATGGCCACAAACAAGTGATCGATATCATGAGCAACGATCCTTGCTGCTAGGACACGATGACCACAAACAAGTGATCGATATCATGAGCAATGATCATTGTTGCCAGGACATGATGACCACAAACAAGTGATCGATATCATGAGTAATGATCGGTGTTGCCAGGACACGATGTCCACAAACAAGTGATCGATATCATGAGCAGTGACCATTGCTGCAGGACACGATGACCTTCAACCACTGGTGGACAGCATGAACAATTCTCCATGTTGCCACGATACATATACTGCAATCAAACAGGTCATCATAAGAATCGAACCTCCTGACAATCAACTCAGATCCATCCTTAGCATCACTGTGTCCACCCAATCCACATCGTATGAACAAAAAGGGTCATCTGGGCTTCCCAACAGGCATCAACTAAATCTAGCTGAGACACTACCAAGTGGTGGGTTTGCTGGACATGTAAAGCCACAATCTCATTAAAATCAGATCTTAGTTCTCGCTGTGGCTAAACAAAGATCTGAGGACATCCCATTACGGGTCACGTCAAGCCGACCTAGCGCGAACTTTGACCGACCAATGGAATGACCAATCAGAAGGCAGTTTTCTCGTGCTTTACGGCACAAATTTCAAATTGGCGCCTACGCTTCGAAACATATTTTGACAAATTCTCGATTACAAATTTGAAACCTGAACAAAAAAAACAATTCTGGAATGGCTAATCGATGGTCTAGATTGTATGGATTAAACCCGTAACTATCGTTCGGAATAAAGTTTTCGAGATTGCATGATTAGAAATCACATTCCGTCTGTCACTTTCATAATCTGGTAAGCGACGCACTGATTGGTCGGATGAAAGGTCGTTCTGACGTGACCCTTAATGGGGTGTCTTCAGATCTTTGTTTAGCGGTAGCGAGAACTAAGGTCTGATTTTAATGAGATTGTGTAAAGCCACTATGGAGAATGTCTTCAATGAGTCCATTGACTACACTACAGTTGAATATTGAGAGATTTGTACAATGACTCCAAACAAAAGAACACCCACTCATCCATACATCTGATGGCCACAGAAAATGGCTGACGAACACACATCAATCATGCACACATTGCTTCTGAATGAATCCTCTCTTTAACAATTCAGTTTTTCACAGTGAAGTGTTATCGTTCCCCTGTTGTGTTTTGAACCAAGTCGAACAAGTGATGACCAACACTCCGCTGTGAATCTACCCATGTCATCTCAAAACCATCTACCTCATGTATGGTTGCTTGGGAAATAGCATGCTGCTATGGACACTGACGTCTAGAAAGCGGATTCTAGGGAAATGATTACAAGATAGTGGGTTGTTATGGATACTGAAATCAACACAATTGGTTTCCGTGGATACTGACTTCAAGATAGAGGATTGTTATGGATACTGATAATGGTTGCTATAAATGCTGACATCAAGGGTATTGATTTTCATAGACAACGAAAAACGATGCTAATAGAAAGTTACTTTCTATCTTCTGAATACTGATATGAAGTGAGCCATGTTTTGGCAAACTAAGGTTTGTCATGAGGCCTTTTAATGAGAGAATTCTTTGGTATGTTTTCATCAGCAGGATCAAATGAACCTCTTGAGCATCAAGCAGAAAGAAAAAATTAAAAAAATATCATGAAGAAATTGACTCGTAAATTTGTGAAGCAGACTTTCAAAAGAGTCATACATTTTCCTAAAAACGCAAACAGTATTTCGCAAAAACAAAATCTCACCTAACATGAAAAAAATCTGATTTCAATTCCTGAAGCACTTGTTCACATGCCATTCATTCACCCATTCATTCTGCCACAGAGTAACAGCCTGTTTACGGCCCATTATGTCAGTCTCAACTGTCCGATTTCATACCAGATCTAGCCAGTCCACTGAGCAATCACATGATCAACATATGAGCATCACGTAAAACACAGCCATTAGAAGATTCATCTGTGTACCGCTTCAGTTCAATGTACAACGACAGAAGCCTCAATCTCAGTTTCCACTTTGTTTCCAGGAGATGTGGAAAGCAGTTTCCTATTTGGACGAGAGGTCAAGGGAGACAACTCAGTGTCCCTTCTGTGCCTCCTTAGCGGCAAGAATGAGCGGGACGAGGCTGGCTAATGGCTTTGCTAGTCGCAGGAACGGATGCTGAAAGAGAGACATCATGGTTTAATTGCATCCCAAATTACATTGAATTCTTGATGTGTCCACAGAACAGGTGAAATCATTCGTTATACATTATGAGCTCCACTACTCACATACTACTCACTACTCACGTGTTTCTAATTATTGAGTGAGTGAGTGAGTTTGGGTTAATGCTGCTTTTAACAGTTATATCACGGCGTGTCAGCTTAATGTGGGAGGAAAGCCCGAAGTGATGCAGGTCTCAGACGTTTCGGTGAAACCCAAGAGCAGGGGTATGGTGCTGACAAACCTAGAAACATAATCGGGGCAAACCGGGATTCGGACCCACATTCAAGGGACATTAGACGACTGGGCCACCCGTACCCCCCTACTCACATAAAGACAAGGTAGGTAGGATGAGGGCCCTTTGTGGCCTACTAGAAATGTCAAATTTTAAAGTTATATTGATATTGAAAATATCAGACATGTTCAACTAGCTGACAACTAGCCTTTAATCATATTCATATTCATATTATTATTATTCTAGTAAAATCTTAGATAATTTTTATATTTGCATACTTATCCTGCACTACTCCTTAATGCATTTACTGCTTGTTCTTGATAGAGAGAAAGTGCTTATGAGGTCTTGCTGCTGAAGAAGTTGTTCCAACTGGTTGTGTGGCTTACCCTATCACACAGCTCCCATGTGACCCCAGAAGTAGTGACATCGCTGATCAGCACATTACTGCTGTTTAGACCTGTTTTTGTGTCTCAGCATGAACACTTAGAATCATTTGAGTATTAGCTACTAAATGCATTAGGGAGTAATGCAGGATAAGTTAAAAAATATTATTATTGATGTTAACAAGGAGAATGAGTGAGTTGGGTTTAATGCCGCTTTTAGTGAGTGAGTGAGTATGGTTTTACGCCACTTTTAGCAATATTCCAGCAATATCACGGCAGGGGACACCAGAAATGGGCTTCACACATTGTACCCATGTCGGGAATCGAACCGGGTCTTCGGCGTGTCGAGCGAACGCTTTAACCACTAGGCTACCCGACTGCCCCCAATGCCACTTTTAACAGTATTCCAGTTATATCACGGTGTGTCAGCTTAATGTGGTGGAAAGCCCGAAGTGATGCAAGTCTCAGACGTTTACCACTTCCGTGAAACCCATGAGCACGGGTATGGTGCAGAACATAATCGAGGCGAATCGGGATTCGAACCCACAATCATAGGTCTCTGGCGTGCCCAAGGGACGCAACTCTGCACAGCGAATCGCAGCATCTTAGACGACTGGGACCCCCATTAAGAAGGAGATAATTCTCAGTTACCTTTAGTAGTTCTGAAGCCGATGCTCTCTTCTCCACATCCACCTCCAGACATTTGTCCAGGAAGTCCTGGAAGACTGGAGACAGTTTCTGCTTCTCCTTGATCTCTGGTTTGCCGTTTGTTGCAATCAAGTACAGAGCCTAATGACAGGGAAAAAAGAGGTAATACTTAACAAGACAGCTTCTACAACATCCACATCTATGTTTGTTTGTTTGTTTGTTGTTTAAAGCCGCACTCAACAATATTCCAGCTATATGACGGTGATCTGTAAATAATCGAGTCTGGACCAGATAATACAGTGATTGACATCATGAGCATCGATCTACAAAATTGGGATACTATGACATAGACTAGTCAGCGAGCCTAACTACCTCTCATGATAAGCATGGGTTGTTGAAGACCATTACTAACCTAGATATTTAAGATGCAGATCTTAGGCATTGTCGGGACTGTACAGGGAAATAGGTCGGACATCCCAGGACTGTACAGGGAAATAGGTCAGACATCTCGGGACTGTACAGGGAAATAGGTTGAACATCTCGGAACTGTACAGGGAAATAGGTCGGATGTCTCGGGGCTGTACAGGGAAATAGGTCAGACGTCTTGGGACTATAGGGAAATAGGTCGGACGTCTCGGGACTGTACAGGGAAATAGGTCAGACGTCTTGGGACCAGGGGTCCGGAAACCGTCATATGCGCCGGACATGTCCGATTGGGAATCTCAAATGTCCGTTTTAAAATATTGCTTACCGGACATTTTAAAAAGTATTGTCCGGACATTCTTAAATTTTGACCGGACATGATCAACAGTTAGGACTGAGCAGTTTCTGTCTGCAGTTGCAACACAATGAAGATTAACTACACTGACAAGCCTTGTTTGTTTTGATTGCTGTAAATACATCGTACAGGTACATGATAGTCCAATCGGTCAATCACTGTAATAGGCAATAAACTGAGTTGACACCGATTAATCGAGGATTAATTACTGAGAACATCTTGTTAATTTGAGTGAAAGGTGTTTACAACTGTACATTAATACCTTGCATCATCGATGTACCTCATTATCCTCACAATGCTACGATACGTAACCTCAGACAAGAAGCGAAAGCGTGACGACAGCCAGTCGACCGATGCAGATCAGTCGAGCAGATCTGCCAAACCCTCAAAGTCTGGACGATCATTTTGTAAGTCGTGGCTAACGACTTTCACTTGGTTGACATACAATGAGGATTTGCAGATTTGATTGTTTTCAGTAGCTAGTCGTATATTGAATCTTGATTGACCGCCATTTTGCTTTCACGGACGATCGATATCCAATTTTTTTATGGTCAATAATTAAGTACAGATGAAAAACGTATTCAAATAACTATTGCTATCAACGATATTTTAGTATTTGTGATTAAATTATCTGTCTTGTTTTTAAAAAAATCTTTAGTTTAAAAAAAAACTTTTCCCGTGAGGTCACGTGATAACCAAATATGGGATAATAGTCTCGATCCAAATGTTACAAAGTGTACACTTGAGCAGACTCATGAATATAACTCATGAATATTAATTAGACCGTTCACTACGTTAACAGATCGTTATTATAACAGAAACAAACGTATGTTTTCCATGTAAATCTAAAATGATATTATTTGTTATTAATTGTCCGGTGAATTAAACAATTTAAATTGAAATAATTCATAATTCATCATATTATGAAAACGTAAACTTGTAATGTGTGAAAGTCGTACTAAAATACGCTATTTGAAGGGGGCGTGGCCTAAATGCAAATGTCCGATTGGGATTTTAAATTTTCCGGACCCCTGCTTGGGACTATAGGGAAATAGGTTGGACATCTGGGACTGTACAGGGAAATAGGTCGAACGTCATGGGACTATAGGGAAATAGGTCGGACGTCTCGGGACTGTACAGGGAAATAGGTCGAACGTCTCGGGACTATAGGGAAATAGGTCGGACATCTCGGGACTATAGGGAAAAAGGTTGGATGTCTTGGGACTGTACAGGGAAATAGGTTGGATGTCTCGGGACTGTACAGGGAAATAGGTCGGACATCTCGGGACTGTACAGGGAAATAGGTCGGACATCTCGGGACTGTACAGGGAAATAGGTCGAACGTCTCGGGACTATAGGGAAATAGGTCGGACATCTCGGGACTATAGGGAAATAGGTTGGAGGTCTCGGGACTGTACAGGGAAATAGGTCGAACGTCTCGGGACTGTACAGGGAAATAGGTCGGACATCTCGGGACTATAGGGAAATAGGTCGGACGTCTCGGGACTGTACAGGGAAATAGGTCGAACGTCTCGGGACTATAGGGAAATAGGTCGGACATCTCGGGACTATAGGGAAATAGGTTGGATGTCTCGGGACTGTACAGGGAAATAGGTTGGATGTCTCGGGACTGTACAGGGAAATAGGTTGGATGTCTCGGGACTATAGGGAAATAGGTCGGACATCTCGGGACTATAGGGAAATAGGTCGGACGTCTCGGGACTGTACAGGGAAATAGGTCGCCATCTCGGGACTGTAGGGAAATAGGTCGGACGTCTCGGGACTATAGGGAAATAGGTCGGACATCTCGGGACTATAGGGAAATAGGTCGAACGTCTCGGGACTATAGGGAAATAGGTTGGATGTCTCGGGACTGTACAGGGAAATAGGTCTGACATCCCAGGACTGTACAGGGAAATAGGTCGGACGTCTCGGGACTGTACAATTCAGTGGACTTACCCTGAGTGGGTTTTCATTCAGGTAGGGTGGTTCTCCCTCAATCATCTCAATGGCCATGATACCCAAACTCCAGATGTCAACTTTAGGCCCATACTGCTTCCTGAAACACACAGACCCTCATGTGTGAAAGTCACTCAGAACCATCATGTGCTCCAAACACCAAGACAGCTGGAGTAGGACAACTACATTTAAGTAACAATCTCAAACAGTAACAATTTAAACATAAACACTGATCAAGTGTCGCCCCTTACAGACAACAGAGTACTTGCTAGTACTTCCAAGTTTAACCCATCCCTTGTGTGTCAGGAGGAACGCATATTTTCAATAGGCCCAAAGCTTAATGATGTTTCCATGCTGGAGTACCTGGTGACAACCTCTGGAGCCATCCAATAGGGTGTGCCCACCATGGTGGACCGCTTGCTTTGCTCCGGAGACAGCTGAGCACAGAAACCAAAGTCAGCTGAAAGACAAACAATCTCAGATGTCATCATGTCTCTTTATCTCCATATAAATTTATTTGTTTGTTTGTTTGTTTGTTTGTTGTTTAACTCCGCACTCAGCAATATTACAGCAAATAATCGCGTCTGAACCAGACAGTCCAGTAATTGACATCATGAGCATCCGTCCCAGCTATTGGAATACGAGGACATGCATCAACCAAGTCAGCGAGCCTGACCACCCAATCTCGTTAGTAGTTTCTCATGACAACGCTAGTCATCTTTACGGCAAGAATGGGTTGCTGAAGACCTATTCTAGCCTGGATTTTCACGGGTCGAGTTATTCTATGAGCAAACTTTTCCAACAGTGAGTGTGTGAGTATGGTTTTACACCGCTTTTAGCAATATTCCAGCAATATCACGGTGGGGGACACCAAAATTTGGCTTCACACATTGTACCTATGTCGGGAATCGAACCCGGGTCTTCGGTTGGACGAGCGAACGCTTTAACCACTAGGCTACCCGACCCCAACACTATAGCTGGGATTATTTCCGCTTCAGAGGAGATTTAAAAACAGAATGATCTAAATGATCAACAAGATGTATACTTGACAGTGAGTTTGACAGTAGCCTTTTTGTCCTTTAGGGCGTCTTTTGTCACGTTTATCACCAAATAGAGTGGAAATTACAGTATTGAACACACTCCCTACAATATGTAAACAAGGAACACAGCTTTGTGTTCAGTTAGTTCAATAAATTTGTCCACCCGACAGACTCGTGTGACCCTGAAACTAGGGGGAGATGTACATACTCAGTTTGACGCTGCCGTCCATGCCGAGGAGGATGTTGTCGGACTTGATGTCTCGGTGGATCACCTGGTTCTCATGCAGGAACTCCAGGGCTTGCAGACACTGGGGGAAGAAACAGACACTGCTGGGTTCCATGCATAGACTGACTTGAGTGAGTGAGTGAGTGAGTTGGGTTTAACACCGCTTTGAACAATATTCCAGTTATATCACGGCCTGTCAGTTTAATGTGGGACATCTTCCCGAAGCAAGAGAGTGAACTGACTTTTAAAGTCCAGTTTCCACGCTTGCCGAGCTTGGCTGGAATTACTGGGCTCGATCGTAGCGCCACCAGTGGCTATTACCGGTTTTGTCCCTTCTAAGCCTCTCCTATGGACCAATCAGATTCCACCTCTCGCATTTCTTGCGTTTGCTTCACACAAAATGGTGGGACCCAGTCAGGACGATCTGATTGATAATCAAGATCTATATTGTGATTAAAGGGGTCTTACATCACGAAATGCATCAAATCACGTGAGCACCTTGACTTAAAACATGAGATGATTTGGAAAATATCTGCTGACAACAAGTTGGCAGTGCACATGTTCTGCAAATCCTGCAATCGACCGAAATCTGCACAACAGTTTACAAACTGGATTTCGATTTCGGTGCGCGATTTTGATTGGACTATGCATAGACTCGTTAGTCCAGCCAAAATGTAACGCCATAATAACAGCCTAGTTCGGTAAGGGTGGTAACTGGACTTTTATAGTCAGTTAAGATGAATGTGGGAGGAAAGCCCGAAGTGATGCAGGTCTCAGACGTTTACCACTTTGGTGAAACCAATGAGCATGGTGCTGACAAACCTGGAAACATAATCGGGGTGAACCGGGATTCAAACCCACATTCATAGGTTTTTGGCGTGCTTAAAGGATGCAACTCTGCACAGCGAATTGCGGCGCCTGAGACGACTGAGCCAACCGCGCCCCTGGACGTTTTTTTGCTCACTTGCATGACATTAACAATCTTTGTATTCTGGAGGAAAAACATACATGTTTCCAGTACTAATATTCCCTTTTTGTGGTGATTCATAACACATATGTACTGTACCATGACCACACTGGTGACACTGACCTCCTGATCTCACTCTTGAGACATGTGTCATATCCTAATCTCACTCTTGTGACACGTATCGTATCCAGATCTCACTATTGTGATATGTATGGTATCCTGATCTCACTCTTGTGACACATATTATATCCTGATCTCACTGTTGTGATACATAACGTATCCTGATCTCACTATTGTGATATGTTTCTTATCCAGATCTCATTATTGTGATACGTTACTTATCCAGATCTCACTATTGTGATACGTATCGGATCCTGATCTCACTATTGTGATATGTATCGTATCCTAATCTCACTATTGGGAAGACGTATCTTATCACATCATTGTGTATCATCCCATCCCTGACATCAGTGAACCAGTCCCTGACCCCTCATCACTCCGTGCCCAATACAGGAGGAAGGACTCTTCCCACCCCTTGACAACTCACCTCTCGACAAACAGCAGCAATCTGGCCCTCATCCATGCATGTTTCCGTGACGACATCAGTTAGTGATCCTCCAGCTAAGAACTCCATAACAACCTGGAATGTGTCAACCACAGTGAGCGTTGAGTGAGCAAAATCACAGACCAATTTACTGTAGGCCATAAGGACCCATACACATTGGACACTACAGGCCTGACAAGAGATCTATCTGCCACAGGCCTGACAAGAGATCTATCTGCCACAGGCCTGACAAGAGATCTATCTGCCACAGGCCTGACAAGAGATCTATCTGCCACAGGCCTGACAAGAGATCTATCTGCCACAGGCCTACGGGCAGGCACTTATTTCGAAAACTGGTGAACAGTTTATTTTTTCTGCAAAACCTGAGAAATTATTTTTCAGGATTTTTGAGAACACATTATTAAAAACAAACATATTCTAAGCCCCCTCCGAATATAAAACGGTCAGTTCCTATAAAGCAGGAGACTGACTCCATGAACTACAGTACTGCTGCATTTACCCAGAGCTCCTCCCCGACCAGGTAGCTGTCCAGGTAGTTGACGATGTTGGGGTTCTGGTGCTCCCGCATCACGAGGATCTCATTGATGATCAGTTCCTTCTTCGGCTGCTGAGACAGGTTCATGGTCTTGATGGCAACTTCGCGCCCCGTCGCCACTTCAATGGCAATGTATACTGTGCCCGAAGCTCTGGAATTAACACAATAGATTTATCTCCAAGAATTGGTGACAGGACTATACTTTAGGAAGACATCCAATAAGCTTGTAAACCTTTCAGGCAGGACCACAGTTTGGCATTCATGTTACCAACTCATCCTACCGGGTACCCACTTGCTTCTGGATGGATATAGATATAAAGGGGCAAATTTCAAACGAAGACACTGGACTATGACTACGCCACATGTTTTATGCCTGTGTTGCAGTGTTGGACAGGAATGAGCCCAAGAAACTCTCAGGAGTCAAGCTTATTCCTTCACAAGCATTGCTTAATTTCACCTGATTTTACACTATCTTTTGGACAAAAGCCTCCACAAAAGGTTTCATGTTTTGACGGATGGAATTCTCATTCTACAGGTTTAACGTTGCTTTTAAAAGTATTCCAGTTATATCATGTCAGCTTAATGTGGAGGAAAGCCCTAAGTGATGCAGGTCTTAGATGTTTACCACTTCAGTGAAACCCACTAGCATGGGTATGGTGCTGAGAAACCTGGAAAAATAATCGGGATTCTAACCCACAATCCTAGGTTTCTTGCATGCCCAAGGGACACAACTCTGCACAGCGAACTGTGGCCCGTGAGACGACTGGACAGGGGTAGAAACTAACATATTTAGTCCACTAGTCCTTATAATGATAACATATAGCAAAACCCTTAAAAATGGCAAATTTCTACTAGTCCTTATCATACCTAACTATTGGGCAGTTTGGCAAGGACTACAGAACTAGTGCCAATTTCTAATGCTGCTGAACCACCCGTGCCCCTTCTACATGTATTGAATGAGTGAGTTGGATTTAACACCACATTGAGCAGTATTTCAGTCACTTAACAATCTCTACGTGGGAGGAAAGCCTGGTGACACAGGTCTGAAATGTTTACCACTTTGGTGAAACCCACGAGCATGGGTATGGTGCTGACAAACCTAGAACATAATTATGGCGATTCTAGGATTCGAACCCACAACCATAGGTATCGGGCACCCCAGCATACACAACTGGCTCACCCACTCCCCCAACAATCAATGACAAAACAAGCTGGAGGAGACGTGTATGTCCTGTCTTATCACCTACCCCTGGCCAATCTTCTCCATCTTGGTGTACTTCCTATTGGGATCGCCCAGTGAAACAATTGTACGAAGTTTCTCCATGATTTCTTCATCGGTCATCTTCTTCTTTTTTGGCTTTTCAGTTTTGTTGTCGGAGTTTTTCTCATTTGGATGTTCATCTTCTACTGGTTTTGTGTACTGAAACAGAAGGTGAGTGGGTGAGTGAGTTTGGTTTTACGCCGCTTTTAGCAATATTCCAGCAATATCACGGCCGGGGACACCGGAAATGGGCTTCACACATTGTACCCATGTCGGGAATCGAACCCGGGTCGTCGGCGTGAAGAGCGAACACTTTAACCACTAGGCTACCCGACCGTCCCGTCATAGCAAAAAGCAAACATAGTTATACAACTTGTGAAAGTTGAAGATGTATTTTGTAAGCTTTATTAGTTAGTCCTGAATTGGCATTCTACTGGCTGATGCAGGCAAGAACTAGGGATGTCATCGTATATCACAATATCGATGCTTGGTGAATATTTCATGTAGATACTGTATCGATAATAATTTATGAATATCGACACAAACCTAATAACTCAATGCCACAGAAATGTTTACATTAACATTATCATGTTGGAGATGGACAATTAGAAGGCAGATAAATGAATATTAAACATCTACCTAGGTCAGGTTAGTTCATATTTAGGATTAAATTGCAGGTGTTCTTGCGAAATGGTCCAGCGCTAAGACAATCTTAACTCCTATACATTTACACTGATTTACAACAGTCACCTAAGACAGATTTGTGGAACTGGGCCTGGGTATTTAGAGAGTGAGTGAGTGAGTATGGTTTTATGCCGTTTTTAGCAATATTCCAGCAATATCACGGCGGGGGACACCAGAAATGGGCTTCACACATTGTACCCATGTCGGAAATCGAACCCGGGTCTTCGGCGTGACGAGAGAACGCTTTAACCACTAGGCTACCCGACCGCCCCTATTTAGAGAGTGACTGTAGGTTCATGCAGTTTTTAGCAATATTCCATCAAAATCAAGTCTGGGGACCCCAGGATTGGGATTAACACATTGTACCCACGTGGAATATGGGTATTTACACAATAGAATGGTGATATAATCAGGGCTGATTTCGACCTTAGAAATCGATAATCGTTAACTAAATATCGATAAAAATCAAAAAGTAACTTTGAGCAAATATCTAAAAGCTCAGAGACAAAACAACATATTTCACGTCACTGTTGAGTGGTGACACATTTATGCATGGATTACTTTGTGGACATTTGAGATGTAACGAAACGAGTTGCTTTCTGTCTTTGGCAATGGACATAACAAGTCTGCTTCGGTAATTAAAACTTCATCACAATAGATTATGTAAGATATTATCGATGACACAATTTTCATATCTATAATCGTTAAAATTTCTTCACATCAATGATAATTCTGATTATCAATCTTTTTAGCCAGCCCTGGATATAATACATTGGGTTATCAAGGTAGTATCAGTGTGAGTGAGTGAATGAGTATGGTTTTACGACGCTTTTAGCAATATTCCAGCAATATCACGGCGGGGGACACCAGAAATGGGCTTCACACATTGTACCCATGTCGGGAATCGAACCTGGGTCTTCGGCGTGACGAGCAAACGCTTTAACCACTAGGCTACCCGACCGCCCCTAGTATCAGGGTGAGACTCACTATCGACTTGGTCTTGTCGGGCCGGGCAGCTATGGGGGGTGGGGGTTCCTCTTCTTCCTCCTCACTGGGGGTGGGGGTTGCCGAATTCTGCTCCTTCGACTGAAACGTATCCCACAAAATCCAAGTTAATGGTTCCTAAGAGAAACGGATTGAAGCTACTCATATGCAAGACTGACACTGATTCGAACTGGAGTTTTTCACCAAGTTCACTTTCCTGACATATAAGTCCATAATGGACACTGTAGATTACAAGTGATGGATGACGATGAAACATCAACGTCCTTCACCAAGGAATATCACTGAACATCCTGAAGCTGGGATGCTTACAAGGTCATGTTGTAAGTAATTGATCAAAATGTTCAATGAATGCTATTTTACATAGAGAGTCTGACAGTTAAGGCAAAGATGACAACTCTGATAAAAATTGAAGTAAAATATGTTTTTTTCGAAAAAAAACCATGTTAAAAATACAAATGTTTTCAAAACGTGAAATAAAACATTCAAAGTTAAGTAGTACTTTAGTAGTACTTAGCTCAGAAAACAGAATATTGTATGATTGATTAATTAATGCAGTTGATCCAAAAACAATGAACAGAATCAAATTGCCCAGCCCTGCGAACATGTGTCTGCAGCTACCTTTACCTATTGAACTTGCTCTGAAGTATTAATCGTATTAAAAGTTTCCACACAATTTGACGTAAATATGGATATCGTAATATGTATCATTTCGTGATCTATGTATCGTGATACGCATCATTTCGTGACCTATGTATCGTGATAAGTATCATAATGTGACCTTGCTGTATTGTGTCACCCCTACAGATTAAGTTAACTAAAGTAATAGGAAAGAATCGGGTGATCCTTAACTTTATTTGAGTAGTGTCCGTATGATTAGAATCCAGCTGCAGCATCCATTTGTTCCCTGGGGTGAACCCAGAAGTTGAATATACAGAAGCTAAAGCTGAATACATACCTGTGTGAGTACTACGGGAGACGAGAGTTTATCAGACAGGTTCGACTTTGTGGAAGCACTACCTGAATAAGAGAACAGAACTGAACATAGCAATGTGTAACCATGGTAACAGCTGTGGAGTGGTGTACACATTGAACAGAACAATCTCACTTGTGAAGGGAGAATGGTTTTACGCCATGCTTAGCATTGTTTCGGCAATATCATGGCAGGGGACACCAAAAAGGGCTTCACATAATGGCCCCATGTGTGGAATAGAACCCGTGCCCTTCGGCATGACGAGTGAACTCTTTAACCACTAGGCCATCCCATTGCCTACTTGTGAAATCTACCCGTGAAGATCTGGTGTAGAATAAGTCTTCAGCAACCCGTTCTTGCCTTGAAAGGTAACTATTCTTGTCGAAAGAGGCGACTAACGGGATCGGGTGGTCAGGCTCACAGATTTGGTTGATCATGTCATCGTATACCAATTGCATGGATTAATGCTCATGATGTCAATCACTGGATTGTCTGGTTCAGACTTGATTATTTGCAGACCGCTGTCATATAGCTGGAATATTGCTGAGAGCGGCGTTAAACAACAAACAAACCGACTAGACTCTGCAGCTGGTTCCCATGACAAATTGGGGATACTTGGGAGCTAGTATTGCCCAGAATCCATACAGTTGTCTAAGATGAAGTATTATTTTTCTGACATTTTCAAGTGATGATGGACTCACTTGCTGGTTTCAGGTTGAGCATGTATTTGGACTCCTTCACGTCCTTGGATGTCTCGTAGTAGTTGAGCACGTCCAGCACAGCTTGCGGATTCCGCTTCTGCTCCATCTTGGAGATGTTGGAGTTCTGCAGCAGTCGCGCCCATGACTCTGGCATCCCCTGTAACATCATCATCATCAGCAATGTGTGGGGAATATTGTTGAAAAATATCTGTTAAAACCTCAAGACACAACGTTTTAGAAAATCCTATAGTATATAATAATGCAGACCTAAAAGACGTACCTTTGAAGTTTTGTACGGGACATCCATTAAAAAATATTTTTTATTAAACCTGACACTAGATACTGTTTGCAAATATTTTAGAGAACATCTATAGTTTCACTAAAAAAAATAAACAAACCTATGCTCCCCTAGGAAAATATCATGTTCAAACCGAAGCATAAGAAGGGGCACATTTGTACCTATGTGGGCAATCAAATCCAGGTCTTTGGACACTTAAAAACTTAAAACACTAGGCTACCTCACAACTTAGTTACTACTGATGTTTTTTCACAAATACTGGAAGGAGAAAAGTCAAGGACAGTAACCCTGGTAATACATGGCCACCCCATCCTACATCCACCTCCATGTGATTATTCTCACACTTACCGTAAACCGAAGCCCACCCCACCTCACCTCAATTCCCACACATACTGTAAATTCTCTAGTGTGAGGATCGAAGCTCACCCAACCTCACCTCAATGTCCATGTGATAGTTCACACACTTACTGTAAACTCTCTAGTGTGAGGATCGAAGCCAACCCCACCCCACCTCAATGTCCATGTGATAGTTCACACACATACTGTAAACTCTCTAGTGTGAGGATCGAAGCCAACCCCACCCCACCTCAATGTCCATGTGATAGTTCACACACATACTGTAAACTCTCTAGTGTGAGGATCGAAGCTCACCCAACCTCACCTCAATGTCCATGTGATAGTTCACACACTTACTGTAAACTCTCTAGTGTGAGGATCGAAGCCAACCCCACCCCACCTCAATGTCCATGTGATAGTTCACACACATACTGTAAACTCTCTAGTGTGAGGATCGAAGCCAACCCCACCCCACCTCAATGTCCATGTGATAGTTCACACACATACTGTAAACTCTCTAGTGTGAGGATCGAAGCCAACCCCACCTCACCTCAATGTCCATGTGATAGTTCACACACATACTGTAAACTCTCTAGTGTGAGGATCGAAGCCCACCCCACCCCACCTCAATGTCCATGTGATAGTTCCCACACTTACCGTAAACCGAAGACCACCCCATCTCACCTCAATTCCCACACTTACTGTAAACTCTCTAGTGTGAGGATCGAAGCTCACCCCACCCCAACCTCAATGTCCATGTGATAGTTCCCACACTTACCGTAAACTCTCTAGTGTGAGGATCAAAGCCCACCCCACACCAGTCAATGTCCATGTGATAGTTCCCACACTTACCGTAAACTCTCTAGTGTGAGGATCGAAGCCCACCCCACCCCACCTCAATGTCCATGTGATAGTTCCCACACTTACCGTAAACTCTCTAGTGTGAGAATCGAAGCCCACCCCAACCTCAATGTCCATGTGATAGTTCCCACACTTACTGTAAACTCTCTAGTGTGAGGATCGAAGCTCACCCCACCTCAATGTGCACGTGATGGTTCCCACACTTACCGTAAACTCTCCAGTGTGAGGATCGAAGCCCACATGAACTGTGTGCTCAAAATTGGAAGGGGCTGATATGACTGGCTTTTCATTTTCTTTCTGCTTTGCAATTTTGTTCCCTGAAATGAAAAAAAATGTTATTAATTGTTGCACTACAAACAGATTAGCCTGTGAGTATATTTGCTCATAACGATATATAAAAACTGCATTCAGACTCAAGGCTGTCAACACAATACACAATACATACAGTATTATATATACAGTATTATACATGCAGTATTATATAAACAGTACTACAACCCTATCCTGTCGTATCCAAACTGTGCCCTGTTGATAAACTTGTTTTCCGAGAAGGGATTGAAATGGCTTCAAAAGTTGCTATTACCAGTGACGACTGAAGTGAGCCTCATGTACGAGACTTTGCTTCTTTTCAGTTCATGGCCAATGTGTTGTTATTCCGGCATATCGAGGTACCTATTGGCCCTCCATATCATTGCACTCCTTTTGTTTGTTTGTTGTTTAACGCCGCACTCAGCAATATTCCAGCCATGTGACGGCGGTCTGTAAATAATCGAGTCTGGACCAGACAATCCAGTGATTGACATCATGAGCATCGATCTATGCAATTGGGAAACAATGACATGTATCAGCCAAGTCAGCGAGACTAACCATCCAATCCCATTCGTCGCCTCTCAAGGCAAGCATGTGATGCTGAAGACCTATACTAATCAAGATCTTCACGGGTACATGGCACCCCTATTTGATCACCACAACATCACTAATTTCAGACATGTGAAGATTCCAGGGTAGAATAGGTCTTCAACAACCCATGCTTGTCGTAAAAGGCGACTAACGGGATCGGGTGGTCAGGCTCGCTGACTTGGTTGATGCATGTCATCGATCCCAATTGCGTGGATCGATGCTCATGATATCAATCACTGGATTATATGGCCCAGACTCGATTATTTACAGACGACCGTCATATAGCTGGAATATTGCTGAGTGCGGCGTTAAACAACCAACCAAAACACTAATTTCGTCCCTGCAGCACATCATCTCCACACACAAGTCCGTAATTAACTTTTTTTTGACAAGGGGGGCAAATATTTGTACAAGTATCACTTGTCCCCAACTTGTATTTTCATGATTCAAATAAAACTGTTTTCTATAAAAACAAATCCAGGGGGGCAACTGCTCACCCTGCCCCATCCTTCATTTCTTTTGAGTGGCATATTTCATAGTACATTTGAGTGGCCTGAAACTACATAGTAGAGAATGGGTCACAGGTAGGGATGGGATTGGAGGTTTAAAGTGTATCACAATATTTTGCAATGCACAAGGCCATATTGCATACGTATCACGATATATTGCATAATTTTAAATTTCTAATTCAGAGGCAATCTGTTACATTAAGGTATGAACTGAAATTCATAAATGGAACGAAACAAGATGCTGGTACAACATAATGTTTACTCAGTCAACAAATACGCAGCCATCTTGGATGCTCGCTCCTGGGAAGTGAAGGCATTTTGCAAGTATATAACATTAAACACATGATAAAAATCCCAATTTGAAATCACTTGATATATCGAGCATGAAAAAGTGATATTGTGGTACGTATCGTGGAAAGAATGAACCTCAATTTACTGATATATTGGTAATACCTCACAACCTTAGTCACAGGCTTCATCATAATAGAATATAAATATAATGCTCCAGCTAATCAAGGATGAAAAGCTATAGTATAGCTAAGACACTAGGAGGCCAGTGCCAGTTTCTATCTGTGTTCGTGTGATATTTCATCCGTGCTTGGTGCTACAAGTGTACTGTGGATACAATGACTAGAGACCAGCGCCTGACCAACTAATTGGACAGGGTTACATGATACATGTGTATAACCTGATTTCTCCCTTGTGTGTCGCGGAGCTCTGCCATTGTGTCACATGCACTTCCTTCTTGCTGTGTTTGTTTACACACATCATAATCTAAAACAACATCTTATTAAAACAACCCTGCATGAACTCCTACCATACGAAATTAATACAGAATGGACCGCAACCATTTCCTAATAACTACTGGTACTTAAGTCTCTTGTAATCATAGGCATCAAATTCAGATCACTGAAACTACTTTCGCCACTTCCCAATTACCCGGAAATACATATATACCTTCAAATTTCTTATAAAAATGAAAAAGATATTTTCATTGATGATTTACTTTGCTGCCAAAATTTAATTGATGTACAGCATTATCAAAAACAACAACACAGCATCGTGAGAATTACATCTTCACCAAATATATCCGAACAGAAAAAATATTCAAATCCTACATACAGATGCTTGACTGACGGTACAACCTTACCACTTCTTCGCTTCAGGGTTGCTGTGAAGTGCCTAACATTTCCTAACATAATGGTGGATTATCGGTGCTGGGTGGTAATGTGGACTGTCGGTGTCTGGTGGTCATGTGGACTATCGGTGTCTGGTGGTCATGGCGACTAGAGCTCCATGTGACTGTTGCAGCTCCATCCTGGACCTGTGTCACACTAACAGTAGGCTCGGTTTACTCCCAGCCACATACCGTACTTATTCTATTATACATCCTTGTGACAGTGAGTCAGGTTATTCCCACTTACATACCATACTTACTCTAACATACACTCTTGTTGTGACAGTCTGTTGGTTATTCCCACTTACATACAGTACTTTCTCTGACATATACCCTTGTGACAGTGAGTCAGGTTACTCCCAGCCACATACCGTACTTATTCTAATATACATCCTTGTGACAGTGAGTCAGGTTACTCCCACTTACATACAGTACTTACTCTAATATACACTCTTGTTGTGACAGTCTGTTGGTTATTCTCCCTTACATACAGTACTTACTCTGACATATACCCTTGTGACAGTGAGTCAGGTTATTCCCACTTACATACCGTATTTACTCTAATATACACTCTTGTTGTGACAGTCTGTTGGTTATTCCCACTTACATACAGTACTTACTCTGACATATACCCTTGTGACAGTGAGTCAGGTTATTCCCACTTACATACCGTATTTACTCTAATATACACTCTTGTTGTGACAGTCTGTTGGTTATTCCCACTTACATACAGTACTTACTCTGACATATACCCTTGTGACAGTGAGTCAGGTTATTCCCAGCCACATACCGTATTTACTCTAATATACACTCTTGTTGTGACAGTCTGTTGGTTATTCCCACTTACATACAGTACTTACTCTGACATATACCCTTGTGACAGTGAGTCAGGTTACTCCCACTTACATACCGTATTTACTCTAATATACACTCTTGTTGTGACAGTCTGTTGGTAATTCCCACTTACATACAGTACTTACTCTGACATATACCCTTGTGACAGTGAGTCAGGTTATTCCCACTTACATACCGTATTTACTCTAATATACACTCTTGTTGTGACAGTCTGTTGGTTATTCTCCCTTACATACAGTACTTACTCTGACATATACCCTTGTGACAGTGAGTCAGGTTATTCCCACTTACATACCGTATTTACTCTAATATACACTCTTGTTGTGACAGTCTGTTGGTAATTCCCACTTACATACAGTACTTACTCTGACATATACCCTTGTGACAGTGAGTCAGGTTATTCCCACTTACATACCGTATTTACTCTAATATACACTCTTGTTGTGACAGTCTGTTGGTTATTCTCCCTCACATACAGTACTTACTCTGACATATACCCTTGTGACAGTGAGTCAGGTTACTCCCAGCCACATACCGTATTTACTCTAATATACACTCTTGTTGTGACAGTCTGTTGGTTATTCTCCCTTACATACAGTACTTACTCTGACATATACCCTTGTGACAGTGAGTCAGGTTACTCCCAGCCACATACCGTATTTACTCTAATATACACTCTTGTTGTGACAGTCTGTTGGTTATTCTCCCTCACATACAGTACTTACTCTGACATATACCCTTGTGACAGTGAGTCAGGTTACTCCCACTTACATACCGTATTTACTCTAATATACACTCTTGTTGTGACAGTCTGTTGGTTATTCTCCCTTACATACAGTACTTACTCTGACATATACCCTTGTGACAGTGAGTCAGGTTATTCTCCCTTACATACCATACTTACTCCAACGTAAAACATTGCTGTCACAATCAGTTGGTAACTCCCACTTACATACCGTATTTACACTAATATACACCTGTGTTGTGACAGTTGGTAACTCCCACTTACATACCGTATTTACTCTAATATACACCTGTGTTGTGACAGTTGGTAACTCCCACTTACATACCGTATTTACACTAATATACACCTGTGTTGTGACAGTTGGTAACTCCCACTTACATACCGTATTTACTCTAATATACACCTGTGTTGTGACAGTTGGTAACTCCCACTTACATACCGTATTTACTCTAATATACACCCTTGTCACAGTGAATCAGGTTATTCTCAACTACATACCGTACTTACTCTAATTAACACCTGTGTTGTGACAGTTGGTTACTCCTACTTGCATATCATACTTTAATACAAACCCTAGCAGTGACAGTGAGTCATCGTATTGCTGTCAGCAGCATCTATATATACATCACCACATATCAGGCTAGCTCTTTGTCTGTGGGAGTTTTACATCCTGCAAAGTGTTGTACATTGGAGTCAGCACTAGGAAGGAAGTAGCAGCTTATTTAAGTGCCCTTGCTACTCCCACCACAGCTGGCTGGCTGTTAATTAACACACTCCAGACTCTGGCACTGCTACAGTGTGGGACTTACTTACTGATACTCCTAACCTGTGGACACCATGACAACCAGGGACTTACTTACTGATACTCCTACCATGACGTCACCAAGGCAACCAGAGACTTACTGATACTCCATCCCTGACGACATCATGACAACCAGGGACTTACTGATACTCCTACCCTGATGACACCATGACAACCAGGGACTTACTGATACTCCTACCATGTCACCATGACAACCAGGGATGTACTTACTGATACTCCTATCCTGTCAACACCATGGAAACCAGGGACTTACTTACTGATACGCCTACCATGACGTCACCATGGAAACCAGGGACTTACTAACTGATACGCCTACCATGACGTCATCATGGAAACCAGGGACTTACTTACTGATACTCCTGTCCTGTCAACACCATGGAAACAAGGGACTTACTTACTGATACGCCTACCATGACGTCACCATGGAAACCAGGGACTTACTAACTGATACTCCTGTCCTGTCAACACCATGGAAACAAGGGACTTACTTACTGATACGCCTACCATGACGTCACCATGGAAACCAGGGACTTACTTACTGATACTCCTAATCCTGTCGACACCATGGCAACGAGGGACGTACTCACTGATACATCTACCACAAGGTAGGTATACTTTCATTGTAGATGTGTATGCTTGTGTATCATTGTCTTTTTGGAGAGACACTGTGCCATAAGTAGGACATAAGTATGCTCTCTAATATAGTCAATGTGGACGAGTATATCTCTAGTAGCATCAAAGCTCATTAGGCATGCTCAGGAGGAGTCATTGCATTAAAAACATTCTAACTTGAGTGTTCAGTCGGTTCAGATTTGGTTGGGATTACATCATTGAATAGTCATTGCTTATAATCAGTTTGTTCCAAACAGATAAAAATCTGTTACCTTTTCTCTAGCGGTGAAAGAAAGGGTCAGAGGTTTTACCTTTCCTCTATCAGTGAAAGAAAGGGTCAGGGGTTTTACCTTTCCTCTATCAGTGAAAGAAAGGGTTAGGGGTTTTATCTTTTCTCTAGCGGTGAAAGAAAGGGTCAGAGGTTTTACCTTTCCTCTATCGGTGAAAGAAAGGGTCAGGGGTTTTACTTTTTCTCTAGCGGTGAGAAGGGAGAGAGGTTTTACCTTCCCTCTAGCAGTGAAAGAAAGGGTCAGGGGTTTTACTTTTTCTCTGGCGTAGAAAGAAAGGGTCAGAGGTTTTACCTTTTCTCTAGCAGTGAAAGAAAGGGTCAGGGGTTTTACCTTTTCTCTAGCAGTGAAAGAAAGGGTCAAGGGGTTTTTACCTTTAGGTGTCTTCATCTTTCTTCTCTCTTCCGGCTCCTTAGGGAGCGGCTTGTACTCCTGCGGCATGGAGGACTCTCTGAAACAGAAGTGAGTGAGTGAGTGAGTGTGAGAGAGCGAGTGAGCATATTGCTTAACCTCACGGTCAGCAATACTCCTGGCTTATCACAGCGGCTTCTTAATGACCGAAGCCTGGCCAGAGGGGGACATAATGAGAAATAACCACACCATTGGGGTGCACAGCCAACAATCAAGCATGCACAGTCTGACCACCTTATTCATTTTTTCACCTCTTATGACAAGCAATAGAGTGCTGGGTACCAAGCCTATTATGGGATCTCCTTAGGAAAAGTAGCTGTACAGCTTTATCACTTCCCATAAGTGTGTAATTTGTGAGAACTGTAATTAAACTTTGAGGCAGACAGAGCACTGAGAGAAACTGGTGTGCATCCACCCACATCACTGAGTACAGTGTACACACTAATACACTCAGGTCACACACTTACGAGGGGTTGTAGAAAAGTTCTGAGCCTATGAACTATGTATTGTACACCCTCAACAGTTTGAGTGAGTGAGTGAGTGAGTTGGGTTTAACGCCGTTTTTAACAGTATTCCAGTTATATCACGGCGTGTCAACTTAATGTGGGAGGAAAGCCCAAAGTGATGCAGGTCTCAGATGTTTACCACTTCGGTGAAACCCACGAGCACGGGTATGATGCTGACAAACCTAGAAACATAATTGGGGCGAACCGGGATTCGAACCCACAATCATAGGTTTCTGGCGTGCCCAAGGGACGCAACTCTGCACAGCGAACTGCGGCGCCTTAGATGACTGGGCCACCCGTGCCTCCCTCAACAGTTTGAATGCATTGAGTTACTACATAGAGAATCTCACCTGATTGTCTTCCGAGATTAAATATTATCAATATGGGTTTGTAAAAGTTACAAATATCTGAGGCTTGCCAAGGGTACTTTTACTTCTATCAGTGAGTCGTGATATATTTGAACTTGGAAGATACAAGGCTGTGATTCCATTGAAATGATTCTTCCACCTGTATTACTTTGTAAACAAGAATAATAAGGGTCTGTGTGTAAAAAGTACAGCTAACCATTTCCAGAGATTAGAGATCTTCTGATTGTGACATCATGGTAACTGATGATGCAGTGTCCAACCCAGACCGGGCAATTGCGCGATTCACGCTAAAAAAAATCAAATCGCCCCTCCTAAAAAACTCAAAGCGCGATCTGTGGCCAGTGTCATTTCTTGAACAGTCACTTACTTTATCAGCTGTTTATCCCTACCTTTAGATTCAATACTCACTCAGTCTTTAATCAATTAACGAAGGAAGACAGTTCACAGCAAACATTGTAAACAACTGTCGAAGACCGATCGATAATAACCGGAAGTTCGAACACGAGTTATGTCCCTTGGGTTGCTGAATAAATTATCGACAGGATTTGCATGGGAAACAAAATTTAATTTACTTTAGTAGAAAGCGTATCAAAACTTTGATCAAAATTATGTTGTATTTTGTTGTTTAGTAATCAAAAACCTTTGACAAGATGTTAAAAGACAATAAATATTCTATCTTGACTAGTTCTGAAAATAATTTTGAGCATTTTAGTTCGTTTTCGTTTCGTTTCTGAAATCACACAATATGAATCGCCGACTGTCATTGCAGACGAGCTTTTGAATAGTGAAAATGTCGCACAAAAACAAAAAATTACAGACTTTTTTAATCAAAATAGATGTTCTAAAAAAGACAATGATGAAACCACAGTCACTGTAATTACTTCTCAAACTGAAGGGGAAATCGATCCCGGTCCTAGTGACTTAAAAAAAAGCAGTTCTTTATTCTGATCTGTTACACTTTTATATGATGATGTTCCAGTACATAATACAGAATAAGACATTTTTTAAGTAAGCAGTTATCCTCCCTACTTTTTCAAAATCTCCCCTATTTTGTACATGATGGGGGGACAAGTCCCCCATTGATTTTCAATTCTGGGTTGGACACTGATGATGTCACAATGGTCTGCAAAGCACTGTGATGCAATTTCATTGTAGCAATATCTCCTAGGATATATCACTTGATATCACCCAAGCGATATCTACTGATGAAGCCTGGTTTTAGGGGCTGGGAAGGGTAACTTGGGTATTCGGGTGGGTCACTAATCATGCTGATGTTAGCATTTCTTTCTGACTATGCACCCATTCCTTCTGACTTTTATATGTTTGACATTAAATAATCGGAAGGAATGGGTGCATAGTCAAAAAGAAATGTGAACATTATCGACTTGTAGTGTAACCATGGAGTTTTAGATAATTTTTGTAATTAAACGATATATCACGTGACTAACCACGTCTGGGTAAAATGCCTGAAATGCATCATGGGAAAATGCAGTTAGCCCTGCCATTGTCACCGACGAAGATTGTATGGTTCCATGTGTTGTCACAAACCAGTCCGTGTAATCCTTTGAACGTAAATGAGCAGAGTATGACAATATACTCCAATATTTCAAGATAAAAATGTGTTACTTTAATGTGTGCAGGGACACACTCATTTACATATTTGATAACTTGGGTCTGTAGTCAGTTCCGGTGATCATCATGTTTTTGTGTCTATTCAGACCTCATTACAAACATATTGTGACCTTTCTGTTTTTGTATATATTCAGATCTCATTACAAACATATTGTGACCTTTTTGTTTTTGTATATATTCAGATCTCATTATAAACATATCGTGACCTTTCTGTTTTTGTATATATTCAGATCTCATTATAAACATATCGTGACCTTTCTGTTTTTGAATATATTCAGATCTCATTATAAACATATTGTGTTTTTTGTATATATTCAGACCTCATTACAAACATATTAAGACCTTCCTGCTTTTGTGTCTATTCAGACCTCATTACAAACATATCGTGACCTTTCTGTTTTTTGTATATATTCAGACCTCATTACAAACATATCGTGACCTTTCTGTTTTTTGTATATATTCAGACCTCATTACAAACATATTGTGACCTTTCTGTTTTTGTGTATATTCAGACCTCTTTACAACCATATTGAGACCTTTCTGTTTTTGTGTATATTCAGACCTCATTTCAAACATATTGAGACCTTTCTGTTTTTGTGTATGTTCAGACCTCATTACAAACATATTGAGACCTTTCTGTTTTTGTGTATGTTCAGACCTCATTACAAACATATTGTGACCTTTCTGTTTGTGTGTATATTCAGACCTCATTTCAAACATATTGAGACCCTGTTGTTTAAGATATACAAAAAGCGTTAAAACTACAAAAATTAGGAGGGGGAGAGGGGTAGCTAGATTTAAACTAAACAAGCGTATAGTTGACAAAGTCATCTATATCCCCTGCCCATTTGAACACGTTATGGTCCCAAACCAGGTAACTGACCCAACATTTCTCTCAGCCCATGTCAAAATAGCTGCAATGGAAACTCTAAAATAAACATTTCTAAAACTCCTTAATATCAAATGGCACTAGTTCAGTATGCGTTTTATATATAGACATGCAATATTTGGCAAGGAAATATTTAACAGTTTATTTGTTATACTCCTTAAGTAAACCAATCCTATATTAAAACTTGAATCAAACTTGTTGTCATGGAAACATAAACAATAAAAATTTCTAAAAGTGCTATATATCAAAAGGCACCAGTTCAGTATGTGCCTGGTAGACATGTAAAGTTTTGTAAGAAAGTATTAAACGGTTTTTGAGTTACGCTCTGGAAACGAACACCACCCCTGTAGAACCTAAGTCCACCTAATGCCATGGAAACATGAAAAATAAAAATGTCTAAAATCCCTTAATAGCAAGAGGCACGAATCCAGTATGTGTCTGGTAAACATGCAAAGTTTTTGTTGGAAAGTATTGAATGGGTTTTGAGTTATGCTCCAGAAACAAACTCTACCCTATAGAACCTAAGTCCAACTTGTTGCAATGGAAACGTGAAAAATGAAAATTTATAAAATTCCTAAATAGCAAAAGGCACCAGTTCAGCATGAGTCTGATAGACATGCAAAGTTTCGTAGAGAAATATTTAATGGTTTCTCCGGAAACGATTTCGGGACGCACACACGCACACACACACGCACACACGACGGAACCCATTATTATTCTGAACACTGTCCATAATTATAAAGATTCAGAGCCTGTGAATATATGCTCACTTTAATGTTGTGTTCAACTTCTTCAAGATCATAGCATTCATACAGCGATGTACATGCACGCTAGCTTTATAGATCTAGCCCACTGAGACACACCATACCGATGCTTAACATAGATACCTCCACTCAAACACATTCTACTGACTCCAAGCTCGCACCTCTTTCTTTTATCCTGTTAATACCAGGCAGGGTAACAGCAAGTGCCATCTTTTATGTCTTTAACAAGGACAGGGGATCTCACCACTGTCCTTCCGCTCTCTCCCAGGCCCTCAATCCACTACACCAGAGGCTCTCCACCTCCAAATCACGATCTGATCTTTGCAGGGCACTGTGATCCCGTCGACATATTGCGAAGTGCATAAGAGTATTTACAAATATTGAACTTCAGGCCACTGTGAAAATAAGTTCCAAAACATACCTCTTTTTGAAAGCCCGAAAAAGCATAATTAGCACTGGTGATAATGAATTCTCCCTTGTGTTGAACACCTAAATGAAGTATCCCTGGTATTGAACACCTCCATGCAGCCCTTCACTGTGCTATGTTACCACCATATGCTAGCACCCTGTTTTATGTTATCACCATATGCTCCTTATGTGGGCAGACAATGAGGACAATTAGAGAAAATAACTCATCATTAACATAATTCCACATTCCTGATGGACTACGCACTAATTGTTATTGCCAAACCAATGGCAGTAGACACTTCACTTCTTTATTCTTCTTTGTTCACATCCATTCACATAAAACATGTCACGCCGGCGTTCATGCGCTTTTTTACAACATGAGATTTTCCCAGCAGCCCTACTTCCGACATGCACAGTATCCATTATCATATCGACATCAAATATTATTCAATAGTTCTGGGATTTAACTGGCA